TTGTCTATTTATTTGTACTTTTACCTAAAGGGATCAGTGGGTAAGATTTCAGTGACCATGCTTTCATGTTTGGAAGAGTAGAGGGAGGTGAGGGGTATTCAGCTGCAACATGCAACTTCACCACTAGATGTCACTAAATGCCACACCATGAACCTTTAACCTTCTCTATAATATGCCCATTTTGCTTATTTGGAAGAAGGTGAAGGAAACATGAGCCATTTTAAAATTAACGTTTGTGGTGCTAATTTTCCAATATGTCACAATCTGTTAAATGAAACATTGTAAACTCAGCTTTACAAATTTCCCAAATCATTTGGCCTCAACAAAGAAAGGGTGATTCAGCAGAAACCTCACTATGAAAAGAGGAAATTAGATTTTTTTTTCAGTTTGGATTAGTGTCAAATGTGACAGAAACTATTCTGAAAATAAAATCCATATCCCAAGTTAAGATGCTGTGACTGAGCAGACCAAGGTTTCCAATAACCATAAACAAAGGGCACTTCTCACCCTGAGTGTTTCTCCGGTGACACTGTTGACATTTAAATGTGAAAAGGACCAAACCTCCTCCTTCACATTGTTGTTGCCATGATTCATTATTTTTATATGTGAGCGTGCAGGTTAGGAATGTGTGTGGGTGTCCAGAGCAAGACAGGTCACATTCAAGAGCTTCTAAAAAAAAGAGCAGTCATCAGTTTCAGAGGAAGTAATGACAAAACAGAAATAACACGTTAACCTTTATTTTTTTCTTCGAGATATTTACAATGAAGTGCTACAGCGAGAGGGGGCAGAGATGGACACGCGACAAGGTGCGAGTGGAAATTTGAAATAGCATGAGAGTGAAACTGCAGAATAAGATAAAACAACACAGACAGAACTATGGAAACAAGAACTGGTTTCTAGCATTTTTTTAGGAGGATTAAATCTGTAACAAACACAAGAATATTGTGAGAGAACTTGAGACTTGTTGTTAGAAAAAGTACTTTTTCACAATCAGCTTTTCCTTACCTGGAACACTGTACCCATAGAATTAAGAAACATCACAACTTTCAACTCATTTTCAAATTCTGTAAAACAATGGTGACTGAATACTCAGATAAGTCATCATCTGGAATAGTCTTGTTATCGAGAATTGTGTATATATATGTGTGTGTGTGTGTGTTTGCAAGTATGTTGTTTGTAACCTCCTGGGGAATTCAGATGAAAAAAAGTCTCTAGCTCTGGTACATATGAACCATTGTGCTCTTATTAATTAATGCACACTGTCCGTTTCAAATAAATAAAAGTTTTTTAAAATTTTTTATAAAAGTACAGTTAAAATAAAAATCCTTTCAAACATCATGTAAGACGTTGGCTTGTGTTTGAGTAAACAAAACTGATCCCTGATTTTTAAGAGGGAAGTTTGTTAGTTTTCTTTTTCAGCTCCACTTGTACTGTGAGAATACCTTACGTCAGTGGTTGCAGCATTTATGGACAAATATTCAACAATGTTAAGCTGCTCCTGATGATTAAAGCCTTGACCAGCAAGGCTCTCATGGAACGATTAAGATGAAGGGGGAGATTGAGTTCAAACTAAATTACTCTACAGACACATAACAGAGTGCAAGCAGCTACAGCAAGTGAGGCATTGTGCTACGTCTTGGATTTGGACCACATGACCACCCTTTTCTGGCTCTAAATCACAGGCTGTTTATAAAGATGGACAACGTGACGTCTTGATCACCATTTGGCGGCTGGCTGCTGTAGTCATAAACCCGCCCCCTCCATAGTTAGTGGATGGGACATCTGAAAAGCCAAAGTGCACGTAGTAGTAAGCCATCCAAAGCAAAACACTAGTGTGGGTGGAAATCACTTTGATTTGAAAACGCCATAGTCTGAAACCATAATAATTTGGTTGTAGTCTGACTTTTGACCCAGGATATTGTTACCGTGGCTCCATCCCCAAATCACTACTGAGCAAGATGGCAGCATTCGTGTATGGGATATTTCAGCTTAATTTCTGGGATGAAGTGGAGATGCGTCGTCCATCTTTATTTACAGTCTATTCTCTAAATTCGAAAGGTTAAAAAAGTAGGTTTTCATTTTGAGAGGTGCATTTAACTTAATTTCTTGCAGAGTTATGTCTTCATTAAAGAGCTTTATAGGTGCTGATTTGAACAGAGCCTAGCTAAGCTAACTGTGTACCTCTACACTTGGCATGAAAGAGAATCAGCACATTTGCCCAAAAAGAAATATTCCTTTAAAGGGCACAGAATACGTTGATGGCGCTACATGGTCCCAGCCTCATAGCGCCTCTTCTTTCTTCACCTGAACCGCGCTAGCGATGCCGTCCTGTGGCTCTGACTGCAGACTCTGGTTCTCATTGACCAGCATGTTGAACTGCAGGTCACTGTACTGGGAAAAGTCCTGAGTGTACGAGCCAAAGTTCTGGTTAAAGTTCACGTCCATGTTGGGAAATGTGGAGCTTCCGTCAGGCTCTTCCTCAATGTCAAACATGTCCCATAACGCAGGTATTTCTAGCAACTGATTAAGCAAGACTGCCTCATCGGTGCAGTTGTTTGAGTCCTGGGGCACGTTATAACACCCCGCCCCGACAGCAGAGGCCGCAGGCTGGCCGCTGGTCAAAGGCCACTTGTCTGGAGGCATTGCGGTGTGAGGCTGTGGGAAGTGGAAGGGCTGCTCTGCTGCAGGTGCACACTCTGTTGCAGAAGAGGAAACGGATTGTGTTACAGAGAAAATAAATACCTGTGAGAAATACAAGCAACTGGCAGTTATGAGGTAGAGAGACATGGGATTCTTGTTATTTGAATCCTGATATTATGTAAATCTTCTGCTCAAAAAAGGTTTATTTAATCACCTTTCTGAATTAAATTTCAGAAGAAAAGAAGAACTCACCTGTTAAACACGGCTTCTCTCTGAAATTGATGTCTGGCTTTATTCTGCACTTCCTCTTCACTTCATATGGATCTGAAATGGAATGGAACAGTTTGGAGACTTAATATAAACTCCAGCTTGTGTTTGCATTGGGTTCATAACATTTACATTAAAGCCTTTTAGCTGACACTGCAAGTAAGAGCGTAGAAGAATTCCAAAGAACAGACACGTCAGTGTTTTTCACCCCTGACTGACCTGGGTTGGGTGGCAGGTACATAAAGGTCACTGACTCGCTCTCCATCTGGTCTGAGATGCGACGCAGTGCGACGCTGACCTCCACCTCCTCCGTGAGGTTCTGGTCCTGGTACGGTGGCGTCTTGAACACGATAGCAATCTGCCGGTGCACGTCTGTTTGGGCGAACTCCCCATTCGCCTTCCACGAACCTCGCCGGAATATGATCTCGATGTCATCTGTGGATCAGTGACCACGCGTAAAGTCACATTCATTTCGTCATCAATTTTCCAGTCAAACTAGAATTACCGCTCTATCCAGTGCAGTTCAAGTCTACATACATTTTTTTCCAGACTCATATAAGGTCACATGACCTGTGATCTTGGACTCTAAAATCAAATCAATAAATCTTTGAGTCCACTTGACAACTAGTCAAAACCTAAAGACATTTCCAAAAGGTGGACTTGAGATTTCATGTTCAAAAGGCCAAAAACATTGTTGTGTGAAGCCAATGTGCCCCTGACTTTTGATCACCCAAATATAATTAGTTATTCTGCGAGTCTAACTAGATGTTTGTTCTAAAGTTGTTACTGAGATATTGCATTCAACACAAAAAAGCTGTTGACCTTTGGCCACCACAATCACTTCATCCTTGAGTCAAACTCGATGTTTGATTCAAATTTGAAGAAATTATCTCCTGCCAGCACAGCAACACAAAAAGGCATTACGTTTTCCAAATGATCTTTTTTTAAATTATCTAAT